GAGTAGAGAAGCCTATGTTTTTACAAATTTCGCCGACATAACGGCTATAAAATGAATATTTTCAAATGAATTAAGCCTAACGTTTGCCCAACAATTGGCAACCCAACTACAAATATATATATATATATATATATATATATATATATAATCAAGTCTAATATTTGCCCAACAATTGGCAACCCAACTACAAATTTATATATATATATATATATATTAAAGAAGAAACCACATGCAATGATGTGGCCTCTTCTCAAAACAAGAAAATAATTTATCTTTATTCTCCTTTTCTCAAGTTTCTTCTACTTTAATATTTGTTTTTTATGTTTCATATTCACATTTAAGATCCTTTAATTAGATTGTTTCAACCTATTCATGTTCCCTCTAATAAGTATTCTTTTAACCCTCTTTATTTCTCTCTATTTGGTTATAATTTTCATCTTCTCTTCATGGTACACCTCTATAATAATCTCTCAATTCTTCATCTCAATTTTTTATCTCAATTCTTCATCTCCATTCATGTATAATTTTGTGGTACATCAATATGATAACCTCTCTATTAATCTTTCAATTATTCCTCTTTATTCATGTATAATTTTGTGGTACACCTCTATGATAATCTCTCTATTAATCTTTCAATTCTTCCTCTCTATTCAGTTATAAATTTGTGGATGCGATTTGCATTTTTGTTGATTTGAGGTGTCATTCAATAAGACAAATCATAGTATGGATTTTTGCTTATGTAAGTGTAATATTTCTTTTTTTAGTCGAAGATATTTACATTAAAGTTGGAATTATGTAGGCATATGGAGTTTTTGTGTGGATAAAGTGACATATGAATCCTTGAAGAAATAGTGTAACATTGGATAGAAAAAAAAACCCTCTTAATTCTTCCTCTCTATTCAGTTTTTGAGGTGATTTGCAGTTTTGTTTATTTGAGGCGTCATTCAATAAGAGAAATATGATATGAGTTTTTGTTAATGTAAATATAGTATTTTCGTCTTTTAATTGGAGATATCCACACTAAAATTGGATCGGAGATATTCACATTACAAGTTGAAATTATGTAGGCATATGGAGTTTTTGTGTGTGGATAAAGTGATATATGAATCCTTGAAGAAATAGTGTAATATTGTTTAAGAAAAAAAAAACTTTCAATTCTTTCTCTCTATTCAGTTTTTGAGGTGATTTGCATTTTTGTTTATTTGAGGCATCATTCAATAAGAGAAATATGATATGGGTTTTTGTTAATATAAGTATAGTATTTTTCGTCTTTTAATTGGAGATATTCACACTAAAATTGGAATTATACAAACATATGAATCTCTCAATTCTTTCTCTCTATTCAGTTATAATTTTGTGGGGGTGATTTATATTTTTGTTGATTTGAGGCGTCATTCAATAAGACAAACTGAATAAATAATCATAGTATGAGTTTTTGCTTATGTAAGTATAATATTTCGTCTTTTAGTCGGAGAATTTCACACTGAAGTTGGAATTATGTAGGCATATGAATTTTTTTTTTTTTGTGGATAAAGTGGCATATATATCTTTGATGAAACAAGGTAACATTGTTTAGCATAATAATCTCTTTTAATCTCTCAATTCTTCTTATTTATTCAGTTTTTGTGGATGTGTTTTGTTTTTTTGTTGATTTGAGGCGTCATTCATGAAAACAAATATGATATGAGTTTTTTTTTTTTTTTTGTAAGGGTGTCCGGGCCAAAGCCCGACTAATCCCCGRCAAATTTGGAGGCTAAACATGGCTTCACTTAAATGTCGCCAACACTCCCMTCCCAGGGCTCGAACTCGGGTTCATGACTATGCCATACCCAAGTCTTTACCACTAGGCTGGAAGGTCTTTGACATGAGTTTTTGTTTTTGTTGATATTAATCAGTCTATTGTGATTTTTTTTTCTTTTTTAGCATTGAGTTTGAAAATTATTTTCTAATATTTTTAATTCTTAGAGAAGAAACCAAACGTAATGAGATATTATCCTATAAACATTAGAAACCCATTTTTTTCTTAGATTTTTTATTTTTTAAAATATTTGATATATCTAAAAGACTTTTTCATCCCTATATTTAAAATATGAAATTCAATATAATACATATCTTTTATTTTACATAATAATATTAATTAAAATCTTTATTTTCAGGATTTTTTTATAAATAAACCAAACTATGAACTGTCTAAAACAAATCTAAAAAACTTGAACAAGTCAAATGAAAAAATAACAAATCAATCAGACTCTTATATATCTAGAATGGTCATAATATTAACTATTATTTTTATTTTATGCAATCGCATGTAGAAAAAAAGTGGTTTTAATGAGGTTCTTGTCCAATGATGCAAATGAGTATATCATGAACTAATATAAGCAAATTGCAAAAATATTCAACAATTATATCAATGTAAATAACAACACAATTATTGTTTGGTGAATATAAATATTTTATGAGAATATATGTAGAAGATAAATTGATATGTATTATGGTAAAATAATTCTCTTAATACACCTCATGATTATAATCAATATTTTCACATATTTTTATCATGATTTTGAACCAATCACAAAGTTTGATATAATAAAAGATTGATATATAAGACTTAATAATTATATATATATATATATATAATATTAAAAGAACAACCAATAATGATAAGTTGGATTCATATATCAAAGGTAATGTTGATTCTTATTGGTTTAATATATAAATGTGATCATCGACTCATTTAACTAATTTCAATAAACTTTTAAAAAATTTATCGTCATCGTGCAACGCGCGATGTCAAACGCTAGTATATATATATATATATATATATATATAATCAAGCCTAATGTTTACCCAACAATTGGCAACCCAACTACAAATATATCTATAAAACGTGAAAGCATTATCGTCATCGTGCAACGCGCGATGTCAAACGCTAGTATATATATATATATATATATATATATATATATATATATAGGGGAGCGATCAAAKRYAARCCACTCAATTTGTACAAACCGTGCAAACCGCATTCAACCAATCATAATTTTTCATTTTGTTCATTTTTTTGTAATTATGAGAGGTTGATTAATCATTTTT